CAAGTTTTTGAATGCACTAGCTGCAGTTTTTATAAATTTCTTTCCTCAGCAGTGGATCTTTCAATCATCTCTCTGTCCTTCCTGCAGGCTTCATTGCCGCTGACATCAAGGGCACCGGCGCCTTCACGCAGCTCTTCCTCATCACAGACTACCACGAGAACGGCTCTCTGTACGACTACCTGAAGCTGACCACGCTGGACACGCAGGCTCTGCTGCGACTGGCGTACTCCGCCGCCTGCGGCCTCTGTCACCTACACACCGAGATCTACGGCACGCAGGGCAAACCGGCCATCGCCCACCGAGACCTCAAAAGCAAGAACATCCTGATCAAGAAGAACGGCACCTGCTGCATCGCTGACCTCGGCCTCGCCGTCAAGTTCAACAGGTGAGCTGGCAACAGTTATATCGTACAGTCTGGATGTTGTCGTTCTACAGTTACCTATAAGGGTTTTTGATTATGTTATTAAAAAGTTCACTTCTATACAAAACCAATAATGATACATTCTAAATAAAACTAACAACTTTATACATCATGTATATGAAATCAAGCTACAACATGGGACTCATACTAACCTTGTGTGTTCATTGGGTATTGATTAATAGATTATTGCTGAAGGGGCTATTAACAGTTTTCAGACTGGATCACCGCACTATAGCACCAGCATCTCAGACAACATATGAGTGAATGCTATGGCCCACCAGAGTCCATTGACAAAACACAAATTTTACCTCCCAGATCATAAAACGCACTTCATTCAAACTCGACAGGAACAAATTAAAACTCACCAAAACCGTCTTTGTTATTCTTTCCACTCTTTCAACAATCATCAACTTTAGTTTGGTTGAAATAAACCTGAGTTAGATAAAAAAAAATGTCCACATAACCGGCTGCTATGGCTGCCATGTAACATTAGCTATCCATGGGGACAAATGCCGCCTCAAAGTATGTCCACTTAAAGCCACTGGCTCAGATTATAATTACTAAGAGTCTGACAACATTATGCAAAGGATCCCTACAGAGATAGTTGAGTTCAACCAGAAACTGCCAGAAACTGATATACCTCTATCCCTTGCTACCAACTTACTAAAAAAACATTCAGTCATACAGAACAGTCATTTTACTTACTTACTTAGATCATCAATAAACAAACTTATTCAAACTCGCTGGACTCAAAATAAAGCTCACCAAAGCAGTCTTTGTTAGTCTTATAACTGTTCCAACAACAACCACAAACTCTGGTTTGGTTTGAAATAAATCCCTAATTCACTGATGCAGATGAGGAAAAACAGCTGCCAGCAGTTGGACACGGCAAAACTCTGATGCACCGCCAACCCGGAGGAGTAAACAATGCTCTAGGTTGAAAATGAGAAAGTGTTATGTCATTCTTTGCTGAGGATGCTGATAGTTGTTTGCTGCTGATGTTCCAAATCTTGTATACAGTATATAATATATCCGTGGCTCGTTGTTTATAATCTGATAGTTTAATGTTGTTTATTCTGACTGAAAAGTGATAGCATCTGACTGCCGACATGCTCATTTGTGTTGCCATAGCGACACGAACGAGGTGGACGTCCCTCTGAGCACTCGGGTGGGGACGAGGCGCTACATGGCCCCCGAGGTCCTGGACGAAAGCCTCAACAAGAACCACTTCCAGGCTTACATCATGGCCGACATGTACAGTTACGGGCTCGTCATCTGGGAGATGGCCCGACGCTGTGTCACCGGAGGTACACACACACACACACAC